TTTCACATAATATTCACATAATTCCTTTTCATTTCTTCAAAATGAGTTACAAAGGTTAACTTAGACTATCACGTCAATATTAATGTCTAGCCTAGAAACACGGGCGTTACACATAGGGAAGAACTAAGCATCAAGATCTCATTTGTATGACTCAAGTCCCCTCAATGGGTCTGAAAGGACGGCTTATTTGGTTAAGAGCATGCCATGCTCAAGAATCACCAAGGTTGGGGACCAAAAATGCCCTAAATGAAGAAATAACTAAATCTATAAGAAAAGAAGATCAAGCTAGCAGGTTTTTACCTCCTGAAGGTTGCTAGCAAGGTGAGAATCCCAGATCCAAATTTCTTCCAAGCTCCAAAGTTCTTCCACCACCTTCTTCTTCTTCTTCAAGAATACCACCAAAACACACAAATGAGCTCAATATGCACTCTCCAAGATTAGGGTTAGCTAGAGGGACGATTTTTAGCTGCAGGCTGATGATAAGATACTCCAAAAGCAACATAAGTTGATTAAATAGGGCACAAACCCTAAAAATTAGGGTTTTCCCCTGATGAGCGTACGCCCAACGTACTTCCACGTACGCCTAGTGTACGTGGGTACCTCCGCATCCAACCATCGAGCCAATACACCCAACGTACTCATAGAGTACGCCCAACATACTCGGCTAGGGACCAAGATGAAAAGAATTTGCAACTAAGGATTAAAAGGAACATACCTAAAAATTGAAAATGTTTCAGATTATTACTAACCTTTCAAGTATAATCGTATATACTTGTGATTGCTTTGTAGATCTCGAGCTATTGGTTGCTCTTGGAAGGTCTAGCACCTAAAGAAGGAATGCCACTAATGGCTCACACCCAAAAGACTAAAAGCCTAGAAAGTTTAGGAGAGAGGCTTGTGAGATCTGAAAACCACATCCAAGGTAAAATAGGATTTATGAAGGCCTATAGGGGTATTTATATAGTTGTGTTAACTTGCAGATAAACCCTGATATGAATTAGTTAAATAATCAGATTTAATCATGATTCAAATCTTTACCTTATCTATTACATGGATTGATTCTGGAAGCTCCTAGAGCTCCCTCAAAACCATCCACCTCTATGGAGGATCTAAAATGTTCATATTTTTCAAACTACTGAACAATTACCATCCAGCCCATGTATCTTTTAAATAAACACATATTCATTCTAATTAATTCAAAATTTATTCTAATTAATTTTAACTAGTGTCTAATTAATTTATTAATCTGTAATAAATTAACAAACTATTTTCCTCACTCTCTTAAATCATTTTCTAGCTATTCTAGCTTATAAGGGCAACTCAAGAAGGACTTTTTTTCATTCCTATAGTTATACCAATTGGTTATGACATTCAACACCTATTTCCAACAATCTCCCACTTGGACAATTCATAAACTGCTACTGGTCGAATATTCTTCGAATAACCAACAAAGCGTGCCTTCCACAGCAACTGTGGAACTCTAATCTTATTAATAATCACCCCTTAGATACATGATCAATTATTCCTTTGTTTCTACAATATATCATTTTGAAATGAGTTATGGATAATAAATAAACCAAATAGTTCATCATTATATTTCTCGATTTCCAAATTATGATGATCAAATCAGACTACTAATTGAGCACATCAATTTAGTCCGGGTTTAGCCATGCACATGAATATCATCGTCAAATCACCGAGGGGCCCATGATATCGCTTTTCCCCTTGAGGCGAAATGGAACAAATAAACTTTGAATACACACTACTCATTAAATCATGCATAAACTTACTAGTTATGACCACCAGTTACAGATAGTGTTATAGTAAGACTAATACATAACCAAATCGTATGTAGAGAACTGAATATCTCTCCATTTTAAGAATAAAATATATTATTATCTCAGAATTACTCGTGATTGAATCCATGAAGTAATCTCTCTGAGTGCGGGTTTCTCCAATACTTAAATCTCGATTAACCACTCATGAACATTAGTCGCAATCTCCACGCTATGTCTAATCATTATAGACAATCTAATAACACTTCACGACAACCTTAATTAAAAACTCAATCTCAAGATTATGAGCGATTATGGATTTTGACTAAATTAACACTCGGCAATTGGAGCTCTAAACATGCAAAAACGAAACAAAATAATAAATTAACTATAAATGGTATCATAGTTGAATTTTAAAAAAATCTCCATTATATAATCGCCATAACAATTACAAAATTTATTCATTGTTCTAAATGTTTAAAAATAATCAACTAACTACTAAACTTTACATCGTCTCTCATGCTTATGCTCCTAGCATGCATACTATGTCTTTCATTAGTCATCCCTTTTGTGAATGGATCAGCTGGATTTTTATTTAATGATACTCTCTTCACAACTAGATCTTCATCCTCAACTTTATCTCGAGTGTAATGGTATTTCCTCATTATATCTCTTGACCTTAAGTGATCCCTAGGCTCTTTAGTCAAAACGACTGCACATTCGTTATCATAGAATATCTCCAATGGATCTTAGTTACTCGGAACAACTCCAATGTTGCCTATGAAGTTTCTGATCCAAGTAGCTTCCTTGGACGCTTCACTTGCAACAATATATTCAGATTCACATATAGGGTCTGCCACATACTCCTGCTTGGAACTTTTCCATGTCACCGTACCACCATTCAAAATGAAAACCTATCCAGACTGTGACTTTGAATCATATCAATATGTTTGGAAACTTGCAACGCTATATCCCTTCACAACAAGTTCTTGTTCATCACCATACACAAGCAACATGTCTTTGGTATTTCTCAAATACTTTAGAATGTTCTTGACAAATGTCCAATGACTTAGTCCCCAATTTTCCTGATATCGAGTTGCCATGCTTAAAGCATACGATATATCAGGATAAGTACATGGCATATCATACACGATTGATCCTATAATCGAAGCATATGGGATTCGACTCATTTTATCATATTCATCACTAGAACTAGGACATTGAACACTTTCTTTATTGGAATTTTCCATAATGAATCTTTTCAATACTTTATCTACATATGTCCTATGACTACATCCTATTAAACACTTCGATCTATCCCTATAGATTCTTATACCAAGTATATATACCGCTTCCCCAAAGTCCTTCATAGAAAAACACTTCTTGAGCCAAGCCTTTACACATTGCAACTCAGGAACACTGTTTCCTATGGGTAGTATGTCATCTACATAGAACACTACGGAGACAAATACACTCCCACTAGCTTTGACATACATGCAAGACTCATTTGCACTTATCGAAAAACTATATTATTTGACTTTCACATGGAAGCACAGATTCCAACTTCACGATCCTTGTTTAAGTCCATAGATGGACCTCTCAAGCTTACACGCTCTATTCAGATACTTAGCATGTTAAAACCCTTCAAGTTATGTCATGTACATATCTTCTGAAAGTTTCCCGTTAAGGAAAGCCGTTTTAATATACATTTGTCATACCTCATAATCATAAAAGGCAGCTATGACAAGAAGTATCCTAATAGACTTTATCTTAGCTATTGGTGTGAACCTTTTCTCATAATCAATTCCTTAAGTATGTGTGAAACCTTTTTGCCACCAACCTAGCTTTGAATGTGTGTACATTTCCATCCATGTCGGTTCTTTTCTTGAAGATCCATTGACAACCTACTGTCTTAAGAGCATGTGTTGGATCAACCAAATTCCGAACTTGGTTATCCATCATGGACTGAATTTCGCTGTCCACTGCCTCTTCCATTGGGCAGCCTCATGGTTTGTCATCCCTTCTTTGTAGTTAGTTGTCTCATCCAGATTAACTAGTGTTTAATCACTAATCAACGTGTTTCCTTCTGTGGTTATATAGAAACCATAAAACTCGGGAGGATTGCTAACTCTACTGGATTTGGGAAGAGGTAATGATATTTTATTAGGCTCAACAGGTTTCTCAACCTTTGGTTGAGATCTAGTGTTACCTATAGGTTCATTGTTGGTTGGCTCTTGAATCTCTTCAAGGTCAATTTGACTCCGATTGACTTCTTGAGATATAAGTTATCTCTCAAGGAACACTCTTTTTCAAGCTACAAACATCACGTTTTCATTGGGTCTATAAAACAAATATTTTAATGGTGGCTAGTTAAATTAATTCCTTAGAAACACAATTAAAGTGCTAAGAATTATTGAAATTAAAATTGACTTTTAGGACGTGTTTGGCACGAAGCGTTTGAGAGCTTCTAACTCATTGTGTTTGACAAAACGCTCCATTTTGAACAAAAATCTCCGTTTGGTACTATAGACTTTTAGCGTTTTGTTTAAACAAAACGTTCCAAATTTAAAAGTTATCTCACATAACGCTTAACAAAACGATATCAGCTACCTGCTACATCTTAGTTTTGTCGAATACTCTTACCAATCATTTTTTATTTTAAAAAGGTATTTAAATATGATATTTCCAATTTTTCTAATTTTGTATTTATATTAAATTGTGTAATTTGTAGAATAGTTCTCCATTAAAATAAATCAACAACTTACTAAAAAAAATTATCAAACTTGTATATTTAACGATCACCCTCAAGTAATTTGATTCTTTTGAATTCTTCTTTAACCTATGCAACACCCAAATCCATGCATGCGACTTTAGCACACATTCTCAGGCATATTCGAAGTAGATCATCATAAAAAAATATCTTGTATTATACTATCAGACTTCGAAGTGGATAACTTAAAGCAAGATTTATCTTATAGTATAAAATTAACTTATTATGAATTAATATGAGCCATAAATAAAATAGGATTGTCAAGTGACAACAAACATTTTCTATCGTCATATTTTCTTACATTTCAAACCACCATTGTCATATTTCTCGGTTGAGTCCCATGTACCACAGATATGAACTAGGATAATAAAAAAACTCTTCATATTTCAGTTATCATGATTTAATGTTTTTATCATCTTTGAGTTTTCTTCAAATATTGATAGCGGTTGTTACAGGAAAACATGCTATTATTGAATATGGAGGTGAATCTATATCTGGATATTTTAGTGAAGACAACATCAAAGTCGGAGATATAGTTATTGAGGATCAGGTGAATATGAAAACTTTTTCCCATGAAAATTTGAATTTAGACTTGGCTTGGTTTAAATTTTAAACTAAAACAAAATACAAAGTTGGAGATATAGTTATTGAGGATCAGGTGAATATGACAACTTTTTCCCATATGAAATTTTGAATTTAGACTTGGCTTGGTTTAAATTTTAAACTAAAACAAAATAAAATTATATAGTTAAAATTTAGCAAAGTAAATATTGAAAATAATAATGTTATTAAAACTAATCATGAAACAATAATTTCTTACACTACTTTATTATGTAAAATTGTAATGATTTTGAACTATATTATAACATATATTAAAATCATATCATTTAATTGTCGCTGTTCGTAGCTAACGTGTAAATAAAACTACATATAATTATCGATATAATATTACTTTTAAAGTTATAATTAACTAATTTATAAACAATTTAATGGATATTTTTTTCTAAGGTAACGTAATATAATTTATAAAGTTATGTTATTTTTAACTATTGTTATTGTTAATGATTATGATTTAAAAAACATTTATTTGAAGAAAATTCAAATATTATTATAAAAAATTAGTTTTGGATATTTTTAGTTAATTTTGCATATCGATTTAGTTTTATATTTAAATCATTTAAATGTTGTAAACTATATAAAAAAAAGATAATATTTGAACACTTTTATGTTTATTTGATATTTTGATTTATATTTTAGATTTTACATGATATTTAAATTCATATTTTCAGAATTTATATTGATAATTCAAAAAACTAAAATTAATATGACAATATCACATTTAATAACACATGTAAAATTATATTATATTATATTATATTATATATATATATATATATATATATATATATATATATATATATATATCATTATATACTTATAAAGGAAACATTTTTTCTTTCACCACATTCATTTGAAACTCCCATGGATTTTTCCGTTCACCACATTCATTTGAAACTCCTATGGATTTTTCCTTTCACCACATTCATTTGAAACCCCCATGACTTTACAATTTCTTTCAAATAATAATTATAATTTGGTTAATTAGGTTAAATAAATATCAAACCTAAATTGTAATCATATATAAACTAAATTTCAATATTAAAATAATATATTTACTACTACTTATAAAGTTATGTTTTTTAACTTTTAACATATTATATTTAATTTATTAGTTTTAATATATTGTT